AATTTTTTCAAATGTTGACCAAAATTGAAGTAATCCATTTTGGCTGACCAAAAGTAGGTACCAATTGATTAAAAACAGGTACTACGCAGAAGAAGAAGTGGTACTATTTCTGTCAAAACTGGTACAATTTTAGTAATCGTAATTTCTTTAATCCTCCATGTCCACCATGGCACGTGGATCTTTCATGCGTGATTTGGTTGACAAATAGTGAAAGTTAAAACATATAGGTAGAATTTGGAGTAATCATGTATGATGATTCTATGAGATGAAGTGTGTCATTCAATGAAATGAAGTATATTAGTAGTGATTTCTTATTAGTGTGTTGAGTTCATGACCATTTTACGATTAAACTTAATTTAAAACATTTTAATAGAAAATAATGTGAGAGTGATTATTGGTCATATAAACATCATTTGAGACGGAAATTTGGTGCTTTTATGTGTTCATTACAAGTGGTACTAAAGACCCAATATTTGGTACTAAAACACTGAAATATGGTACAACCTTACTCTAGGCCTGGTACCTATTATTGCAAATGTGGACCACAATTGAATAATCTATTTTCGTTGACAAAAAGTATATACTAATCGATCAAAAACAGGTACCACGTAGAAGAAGATGCAGTACTATATTGGCTAATACAGGTACTATTTTGAGAATCATGATTTCTCTAATCCTTCATGTCTACCATGACACGTGGATCGTTCACGCTTGATTTGGATAAAAAATAGTGGAAGTTAAAACATATAGGTAGAATTTGGAGTAATCATGTATGATGATTCTATGAGATGAAGTGTATTAGTAGTGTTTTCTCATTAGTGTGTCGAGTTCATGACCAATTTGTGATTAAACTCAATTAAAAACATTTTAAATTTCATAGAAACTAATGTGCGAGTCATTTTGAGTCATATAAACATCATTTAAGACCCAAATTCAGTGTTTTTTTAATGTTTGTTGCAGTTGGTACTGAAGACTCGATATCTGGTACTGAAACACCATTTAATGAGTACTATCTAAGTTTCAATGAAGTGTATTAGTAATGTTTTCTCATTAGTGTGTCGAGTTCATGACCATTTTACGATTAAACTCAATTACAAACATTTTAAATCTCATGTAAACTAATGTGAGAGTGATTATGGGTTATATAAACATCATTCGAGACTGAAAATTGGTGTTTTTATGTGTTCATTACAAGTGGTACTAAAGACCCAATATCAGGTATTACAACAATATAAAGTTGGTACTATCTTACTCTATGCCTGGTACTACTTTTTGTAAATGTTGACCAAAATTGAAATAATCCATTTTCATTCACAAAAGTAGGTACTAATCAATCAAAAAGAGGTGATGCGTAGAAGAATATGCGGTACTATTTTGGCTAAAACAGGTACTACTTTAAAAATCGTGATTCCCCTAATCTTTCATCTTTACCATGACATGTGGATCGCTCACGCGTGATTGGGATGAAAAATAGTGGAAATTAAAACATATAGGTAGAATTTTGAGTTGTCATATATGATGATTCTATGAGATGAAGTGTGTCATTCAATGAAATGAAGTGTATTAGTAGTGTTTTCTCATTAGTGTGTCGAGTTCATGATCATTTTACGATGAAACTCAATTAAAAACATTTCAAATCTCATGTAACCTAATGTGAGAGAGATTATGGGTCATATAAACATCATTTGAGACTGAAATTTGGTGTTTTTACGTGTGCATTACAAGTGGTACTAAAGACCCAATATCAGGTACTACAACAATATAAAGTTGGTATTATCTTACTCTATGTATGGTACTACTTTTTGTAAATGTTGACCAAAAATGAAATAATCCATTTTCATTCACAAAAGTAGGTATTAATCGATAAAAAACAGGTACCACATAGAAGAAGACGCGGTATATTTTGGCTAAAACAGATACTATTTTAAGAATCGCGATTTCTCTAATTCTTCATGTCTACCATGACACGTGGATCATTAACGCGTGATTTGGATGAAAAATGGTGGAATTTAAAACATATAGGTAGAATTTGAAGTAGTCAAGTATGATGATTCTATGAGATGAAGTGTGTCATTCAATAAAATAAAGTGTATTAGTAGTATTTTCTCATTAATGTGTCGAGTTCATAACCATTTTACGATTAAACTCAATTAAAAATATTTTAAATCTCATGTAAACAAATGCGAGAGTGATTATGAGTCATATAAACATCATTTGAGACTGAAATTTGGTATTTTTATATATTCATTACAAGTGGTACTAAATACCCAATATCAGGTGCTACAACATTATAAAGTTTGTACTATCTTACTCTACGTGTGATACTACTTTTTGTAAATCAAAATTGAAATAATCCATTTTCATTCACAAAAGTAGGTACTAATCGATCAAAAAACATGTACCATGTAAAAGAAGATGCGGTACTATTTTGACTAAAACAAGTACTATCAACACTAGAAGAAACTTCCAGAACTCAATAAGATGACATTAACTGTGCACACTGGGATAAAATAGTCAAAGAACCTCCATGACATGCATCTACAACAAAAATGAGCACAACACATCCAACCTACATCTAACAAAGTTTTACTATAATCGTCAGCAAAGTTAAACAAGCATTATTTTACAAGCATTTCATCACACTTGGCAAACATAGATAAGAAAAACAAACAAATACTCAGAAACATGATAAGAACCCGAAAATACGGCAAGAACCCTACAGATAACGAAAATATGGTAAGAACCCGAAAAATGAATAAAATAATTAATCAGAAACAAAGTGTGAATTTTAAAAACACAAACCCCCATAACTTAAGGTATCTACACATACATATACATTATTTTACCCTTTCTTTGAATAAATTATCATGAGACAAAACACATTTCATAATCACTCCATCAAAATAGCCGGAGACAGTAAGTCTTTCACGATTGGGTATTCATCGGGTAGGGTCAACAACGGGCTTTCGCCCGACAATCCTCTAAATGCCAAAGCTAAGGAATATCTCAATGCAAGAGCAACAGGCACAGCAACTGCATTTCCTACTTGAATGTACCTTTATATGTGATAGTCAACTACCATTGGAAACTTCGCACTTGATTGCAAGGTGGATGTAACAATCTAATTAAGACGAAGCTGTAAAAATATGTAAAAACAATTACATAGCCTTTTCTCACAAATTGCAATTATAAAAACTACATAGCTAAGAGAAAAGGAGTTGATTTCAGGGGTAGAGAAATTTTGTTAACAAGTGTAATTTTCATTTTTAGAATGGTTGTAATACTAGGTCAAAACATACCAACCTAGCAGAGATAAAAGATTAGCAGAAAATATGGTTAGAACGAAAATGAAAAAACCAGAGAACAATTGGATTTCAAGAAAGACGAGCTAGCCAAGGCATTAATCTTCTAGGAAAAGGGGAAAAATAGTTGATTTAACTTGTAACAGAAAAAAGTAAATCAAACAGGTTAACTTTAGCTTCAGCAATTACTCAATGCTAGATTCAATTTGACATGAAAAGTAGGAAATCCCAGATTATAAAACCTCATTACCGCACGCAAATCGACTCCCAATTAGCTTCACAACACAGACTGCTATTTAACAAAGTGCCAAACTGAACTGAACACATCTAGCCCGACAAGTTCAACAACAACAAGAACCCACCAAAAAAACGTATTTTTTTTACAATATGATGGAGACGAGATCGCGATAGCATATTTGAATAAATACGATCGGCTCCGAATTTAGCTTATTATTATTTTCCTTTTAGTATTTTATTTGTTGGAGGACCGTACGAATCGCGACAACGGCGGCCGGGCCGTGCGCGGTGGATATCGCGGAGGGCGTGGAGGACGCGGCTTTGGCGGGGCGCCCCGCCACCGTTCACCACCAACTCCGTCCGGCGACTAGGAGGATGAGGAAACCCTTAGCGTGGATAATCCCTTCGCTCCGTTTCCGCGACGACGACAAGCAGTTGAGGAGTTCGTCGAGCAGGAAGGGTACGGGAGAGGGCGTTTTCCGCGAGGGTTTGGGGGAGACGATTTTCGACGCCACGATGGGATAGGGTTTGTAGGCAGCGACAGACATGGTGGTCGCAACCCTAACGGCGAGGAGTTCCATCGGCGTGAACGCTGCTATCAACAGCGGTGCGCGGATTTCGAGACAGCCGGCGATTGGCGGTTCGACGAGTTTAATCGGCCACCACGACGTGGCTGGGACTTCGATGGTGATGACCAAGGGATGAGGGGAGCTGGCGGTGTACGTGATGGATTTCAACGAGAGGCCTATGATCGACGTGACGGCAGGCGCTCGATAGAAGGGGGCGGTGAGACGCGTTGGGATCAGGGGTTTCGAGTTGAGATTCCCGAATTTCACGGAGGCGTTGATGGAGCGGAATTTCTCGATTGGTGGGCTGCTGTTGAGGCCTTCTTCACATTTCGAGAGGTCCCGGAGGAGAAACGTGTTGCTTTTGTCGCCACTCGATTTCGGGGTCGAGCGGCGGCATGGTGGATGCAACTCACCAGCTTGCGGCATCGTCAGGGGAAACCACCCGTTTCATCATGGATGAAATTTTGAGAGTATGTGGAACGTGAATTTGTGCCTTTCAATTATGATAGTATTGTGTATCAGCAGTTACAGAATCGTCGGCAAGGACCACGTTCGGTGAATGACTACACTACTGAATTCCATCATCTGTTAACACGTGTTGAGCTTCGAAAGACGAAGAATCAATTGGTGTCGAGATATGTCGGGGGTCTACGCACAGGGATTCGTGATATGTTGAACATGTTCCGTCCTGAATCGGTGTCGGATGCTCATCAACAAGCCATACTCGTTGAAATGCAAACGGCACAGAAGGCGGGGCAATCTGGGACCATTTCTTCTTGGCCAGGAGCTCCGGTTGGATCTACCTCCCCGTTCACGCGTCCGGGGCCAACAACAGGTGGTGAATTTGGCCAGGGAGTGCGGCGGGAAGACCGGCGGCTGTCGGCGGGAGCAATCAGCGGACCGGCGGGATGGCCGGACAGCAGGCGTCGGCGGCTGCACCTAGGGCCGTCGCGAGCTTACGGTGTTTCGGGTGTGGGGAGTTCGGGCATCGGCAGTCGGTTTGTCCGAAGGGCCCGGTACTCGAGCGTTGTTCGCGGATGAGACGAGAGATTTTTCTTTCCCTGGCGACTACGACGGTCCACCAGCTTACGATGTCGAGCCTGGCGAGGTAGAAGAGGTGGTACACGGCGATGTCGGTACAGCGTTGGTGCTTCGGCGGGCCTGCTTGGCGCCACGGGGTTCAGGCGATCCTCCAGTGGAGCGTCATCATTTGTTTGAGTCTACCTGTATAGTGGGTGATAGAGTGTGCCGCTTTATTATCGACTCGGGCTCGTGTGAGAATGTCGTTGCTAAGGAGGCGGTAGACAAGTTGGGTCTTTCGAGTGTTCCTCACCCATAGCCTTATACACTTGCGTGGATTCAACAAGGTAATGCTATCACTGTTGATCGGAGGGTGTTGGTTTCGTTTTCGGTGGGCCCGAGGTATCGTGATCAAATTTGGTGCAATGTGGTATCAATGGATGCTTGCCATTTGCTGCTGGGTCGCCCATGGCAGTTCGACAGAGCAGCTACTCATGACAGGCGCCTCAACACTTATTCGTTCTCTTTTGAGGGGGTGCGGATCGTGTTACAGCCGTCTCCGACTCGTCCCTCATCGGTGGCGGGCTCGTCACCACCGGTCCTTCATATATCTTGTTCGGCATTTTTGGCAAAAACACGTGTCTCTCCTGTGGTTCTGTTGATTGTTGGTTGGGACACGTTGGGTGATCAGTCAACACCAACACTTATGCAGCCCCTCTTGACTGAGTTCGCAGACGTCTTCCCGGATGAGCTCCCTTCGGGTTTACCACCACTTCGTGACATTCAGCACCACATTGATCTGGTTCCTGGTGCATCTCTTCCTAATCGTCCCCATTATCGCATGAGCCCGACCGAGCACGAGGAACTGAGGAGACAAGTTGAGGAGCTGCTCCAACGGGGTGTGGTTCCTAAGAGTATGAGTTCTTGTGCGGTTCCGGCCCTTCTCATTCTGAAGAAGGATGACTCGTGGCACATGTGTGTCGATAGTCGGGCAATTAATAAAATCACGGTTCGGTACCGATTCCCGATACCGAGACTGGATGACTTACTTGACCAACTTCACGGGGCATCCATTTTCACCAAACTGGACCTGCGTAGTGGATATCATCAGATTAGGATTCGCCTGGGTGACGAATGGAAGACGGCGTTCAAGATTCGTGAGGGGTTGTTCGAATAGTTGGTGATGCCATTCGGGTTGTCAAACGCCCCTAGCACATTCATGAAAGTGATGAACCAGTCACTTCGGGAGTTTATTGGCAGGTGTGTCGTCGTTTATTTCGATGACATTATTATTTACAGCCGGTCAGTCGAGGAGCATCTTGAGCATGTGCGAGCAGCCTTGCTGGTTCTACGGGCTGAGGCGTTCTTTGCTGCTCAACGTAAGTGTTGTTTCATGGTGCCTTCTGTTTTGTTTTTGGGGTTTGTGATTTCTGTTGAGGGCATTCGGGTTGACAATGGCAAGGTGGCCGCGATTCGTGATTGGCCGACTCCTACTATGTTTACTGAGGCCCGTAGTTTTCATGGACTGGCATCCTTCTACAAGCGCTTTATCTCCCACTTCAGTACTTTTATGGCTCCGATCACCGATTGCCTCACAGGCAAAACTTTTGAGTGGACTCCGTAGGCTGAGGCGGCTTTTGCTGTGATTAAGGGCAAGTTGACAACTGCTCCTATGCTCGTCCTACCCAACTTTTCGAAGCCATTCGAGCTGTCCTGTGACGCCTCTAAGGTGGAGATTGGCGCTGTTCTGAGTCAGGATGGTCGACCAGTCTCATTCTTTAGCGAGAAGCTGTCAGGCCCCCGTGTTCGTTATAGCACCTATGATGTGGAATTCTATGCCGTGGTTCGTGCGGTGCGTCACTGGCGGCATTATCTTTTCCATAGAGAGTTCATCCTTTACACGGACCACGAGGCCTTGCGACATTTGGCCACTCAGGACAACATTTCGACTCGCCACGCGACGTGGATGGCGTTCTTGCAGCAATTGACATTTGTTCTGCAACATCGTTCGGGCGTGTCGAATAGGATGGCTGATGCACTGAGTCGCCGTACTCTCCTCTTGACTGATATGCGAGTGGCAGTGTTCGGTTTTGATATGTTGTGTGAGAGTTATGTGGCAGACCCATTTTTTGGACCCATTCTTCGCCGGCTCGAGACGGGCCCTGTCGACGACTATTCTCTTACGGATGGCTTTCTCTTTCGGGGTGTTCGTCTTTGTATCCCGGAGGGCAGCTTGCGGCAACGACTTATTGGTGAGCTTCATGGGGCCGGCCACGTGGGGCGGGACAGGTCAGTTGAGTTGGTGGGTCGTTCCTTCTATTGGCCAACCTTTCGTCGGGATGTAGCCCGTTTTGTGGGTCGGTGCCGCGTGTGCCACGTCTCGAAGGGGAGTGCCTCGAATGCGGATCTCTACCGGCCGTTACCCATTCCTTCTCAGCCATGGACTGCGATGAGTATGGATTTTGTTTTGGGTTTACCACGTACTCAGCGTGGGTTCGACTCTATTTTTGTGGTTGTGGATCGGTTTTCCAAGATGGTGCACTTCATATCTTGCAAACGCACCACTGATGCTCTTCATGTTGCCCAACTTTTTTTTCGGGAGGTTTATCGTCTGCATGGTTTGCCGTCTTCGATTGTTTCTGACTGTGATACTCGTTTCTTGAGCCACTTCTGGCGGAGCTTATGGCGCATGGCCAATACATGGTTGGATTTTAGTAGTGTTTACCATCCACAGACGGATGGCCAGACAGAGGTCGTCAATAGATCGCTGGGCAACTTGCTTCGATGCTTGGTTGGCGATAACCTACGTTCTTGGGATCAGAGGCTGAGCCAGGCTGAGTTTGCACACAACTCTGCCATCAGCCGTGCCACCGGGTTCTCTCTGTTTCAGACGGTGTATGCCGTCCAGCCTCGTGGACCTTCGGACTTGCTGGCACTACCGTCCGCGGCGGGCGTTGATCGCCGGGCGGCGACCTCATTTTGGACCTCCGGGCCACGCATGCGACCGCGCGAGCACATTAGGAGGCCGCCACCGCTGCTTACAAGAGGCGGGCGGACACTTGACATCGACACGTTGAGTTTGAGGTAGGTGATTTTGTTTGGGCAGTTTTGACGAAGGACAGGTTTTTGGCTCATGAATATAATAAATTGTCCGCTCGTAAGATTGGCCCGGTTGAGGTGCTGGAGAAGATCAACCCAAATGCCTATCGTCTTCGTCTGCTATCACATCTTCGCACTTCTGACGTTTTTAACGTCAAGCACTTGGTCCCTTTCACTGGCGATAACTCGGACGGAGACGAGACCGGTCCGGATTCGTGGCCGAATCCTTCCCAACTGGGGGAGGATGATGGAGACGAGACCGCGCATATTTGAATAAATACGATCGGCTCCGAATTTAGCTTATTATTATTTTCCTTTTAGTATTTTATTTGTTGCTTTATTTAGGTGCTTTTAATTAGTAGGAAATAATTATCTTGCACTTGTTAGCAAGATGAGGACTCTTGGTTCTTCTTATTTTCGCGTATGACACAGAGCAGAACATTCATTGTTGAGTTTTATCTGATTTTGAGTGAATTCTTTCGAGAGAGTATCTCGTGTTCTTCTCTACGTATCACATTCTACATCACAATATGATTCCATAAAATCTGCTAACATAATTAAATTTCAGTACCTGATAGGAGGTGATTCTAGCGAGCGAGATACTGAGAAAGGAGACGATGGGAGTTTTAAGGGGTGCAGAATTTAAGAGGGAGCGGATGTGGTCGACAAATAGTCTAGGAGCACCATATGCTTGCCGTCCTAAACAGCGAGCATCCTTGTGATGTCCAACGATCCATCCGTCATTTAATAGGTTTGTTGAAAATGGGAACGCAAAATAAATAAATAAATGTAGATTTTCTTTTCCTGTAAAGAGGGGAAGGGGAAAAAACATAAACCAAAGAGAAGATGAAGGGCTCGCGTACACCACCTGGAGAACTTCAATCCGATCTTGACCATCTGATGCCAGTGAAGATGAAGGGCTCGCGTACGGGTGGCTGCCGATGGAGAAGAATCGGGGATAAAATTGCCACATAAATGCGGATCTGAAAGGGTGGAACTTGAGAGAGATTTTAGGGTTCTTTCGAGCCTGCATGGTATCTCGATGGCCGGTGACGGAGGGGCAAACATCCTGGAGATATGGCCGGCGACGGAGGGGCATCGTGTTCGTGTCCAGAGATGAAATCGTGTCCCGGTGACGGATTTCTACTTTGAATCGGCAATGCAATTCAAAGAGAAAGAGAGACGAAAGGTGATGAATTGAGAGAGAGACGAATGAGAGCGATGAATTGAGAGAGGGAGAGAGATCTGAAATTTTTTTCCAATTTTTTATGATTTTCAGGTAAAATAAATCAATTATAATAGTATTAGTATTTATATGGGGGATTGGGAAGAAAGAAAATAAGTATTAGAGAGTGCAGAGGAAATTAAATGTATTGGAGACTGAGGAGGAAGTTGAATTGTGGATGGTGTATTAGTATGCATTTTCAAGCATTCAACTTAAGTTGATAGAATTTGTGACCAAACTCTCTTACCTCCTTTCTTAATAAAACTCTCCGCGAATACACCATCCACTCACAGCAACAATTTCAAGTTTAAAAATCTACTTTTTCTTCGTACAACACACACAAAGTTTTCGAAAAAATAAAAAATAAAAAAAAATAAAAAAAAATAAAACTAGAATAATTAATTTACAGAGTTTCGAAGGTACTTAAAAACGGGTTTTTAACCTCGAAAAACGAAATGATGCGGTCCGGGAAGAAAAAAAAAACGAACGTCAACCAACAAAACGAGGCTCCAAGTTACACGATATAATTATAGCGACTAGAGGCTCGATTTTTCTGTTGAGTCAAAAATAAAGGGTTGCGCCCATTCCCTTTGACAATCAGCAAAAGAAGAAAAATTGATAGCAGCCAAGGAATATCAAAAGGGCTGCTGATTTTGTTCACATTATTGGGTGCACAACTGTTGAAAAAATTGTGCACTCCCCACTCTATAAATAGAGATGGGTTTTGATGAACGAAACACACAACAAAAATACCAAACACAAAAGAAAAACATAAGAGAAGAGAAAGAGAGAGTGAGCTAATAAAAATTTAGCTTCTGTGTGTATTTGAGTTGTGAGTTGTTAGTGAGTTTGAGAGTGTTTTGTAAACACGAGGGTATTTCTTTTTCCCAATAAAATATCTGCAGTCGTCCGGAGACGTAGGCATTATTGGCCGAACTCCGTTATCAATTTGGTGTGTCCAATTTTTATTTTTATCACTTTTATAGATCCGACTTCATGGAAATTTCAGCGTATTTTTCCCAACAACTGGTATCAGAGCCAGATTGTTAATTCTGTATTTTTTTGTGTGCTGTTACTATTCCGTTGAAAAACGTGAATAGTGCCAATTTTGTCGGCGCTACAAAATTATCAACCGACGTGTTTTGAAACACGGTAGATCACAAAATTACAGAAACGATCCGGCAGAGAAGTCAGATCAGAGTCGAAGTGATGGCTGCAGACGAAGGAAAAATGAAAATTGAAAAGTTCGATGGTGCGGACTTTGGCTTTTGGAAAATACAGATCGAGGATTATCTGTACCAAAAGAATATGTATCAACCATCCACAGGAAAAAAGCCAAAGGACATGAAGGAGGAAGAATGGAGTCTCCTTGACAGACAAGCTCTTGGAGCCATCCGGCTGACGTTATCCCGTAATGTTGCTTTTAACATTGCAAAAGAAAAGACGACAGCAGGCCTCATGAAGGCTCTTTCCAACATGTACGAGAAACTATCAGCCTCAAATAAAGTTCATTTGATGAGGCGATTGTTCAACCTTCGGATGACCGAAGGTGCTTCGGTGGCACAACATCTCAATGAGCTCAACACCGTCACAACCCAGTTGAGTTCGAAGTACGGGCTTTAATACTTTTGTCTTCCCTACCAGAAAGTTGGAATGCTACAGTCACGGCTGTGAGTAGCTCATCAGGAAGCAATAAGATGAAATTTGATGATGTCCAAAATTTGGTTCTCAGTGAAGAGATCCGGCGGAAAGAGTCGGGTGAACCATCGACCTCTTCTGTATTGCATACAGAGTCAAGAGGAAGAAGTTCAACCAAAGAAAGCAGACACAACAAATCAAAAGGAAGAAGATCCAAGTCCATAAATCATCGTAGTTCCCAAACCTCGAAGTCGATCGAGTGCTGGAATTGTGGGAAGACCGGGCACTACAAAAACCAGTGCAAGAGTGCACTGAAGGGTCAAGAGGCAAAAGAAGAGACAAATATTGCTTCAGCCTCTGGAGGAGATTCGCTGATATGTTCTTTAGAGAACAAGGATGAGTCTTGGGTGTTAGACTCTGGAGCATCCTTTCATGCTACCTCACAGAAGGAACTATTTGAAAATTATGTTCCTGGAAATCTTGGTAAAGTTTACCTTGGTAATGAGCAATCATGTGAGGTTGTAGGGAAAGGTGCAATAAAAATCAAGCTGAGCGGGTCTGTATGGGAATTGAAAAATGTCAGACATATTCCCGACCTAACAAAGAATCTAATCTCGGTGGGCCAGCTAGCCAGTGAAGGCTACACGACAATCTTCCACGGTGATGATTGGAAGATTTCAAAGGGTGCGATGACAATTGCTCGAGGCAAAAAGAGTGGTACTCTTTACAAAACCACAGGAGCATGTCATCTGATTGCAGTTGCAGCAAATGAAAATCCCAATCTATGGCACCAAAGACTTGGCCATATGAGTGAAAAGGGGATGAAGATCATTCACTCAAAAGGAAAATTACCAGGCCTCCAGTCAATAGAAATCAAATGAAGAAGAGAGTCAGCTTTCAAACAAGTAGAAAGACTCCAAAGAAGGAGAAGCTTAAGCTCGTCCACTCTGATGTTTGGGGTCCAACCACTGTCCCATCCGTTGGTGGGAAGCAATACTTCATGACTTTTATCGATAATCACTCCAGAAAAGTATGGGTTTACTTTCTGAAACACAAATCAGAAGTATTTGAAGCTTTCAAGATTTAGAAAGCTATGGTGGAAAATGAGACAGACTTGAAGATCAAGAAGCTCAGATCCGTCAATGGTGGTGAATACGTAACCACTAGATTCAAGAAGTTTTGCTATGAGCACGGGATCAGAATGGAGAGAACCGTGCCTGGTACGCCTCAACACAATGGAGTAGCTGAGCGTATGAATCGAACGTTGACTGAAAGAGCCAGAAGCTTGCGTGTGCAGTCAGGCCTACCAAAGTAGTTCTGGGCAGAAGCAGTCAACACAGCAGCTTACTTGATCAACCGAAGTCCATCGGTACCATTGGATCACAAGTTACCAGAAGAGGTATGGAGCGGAAAGAAGTAAAACTCTCACATCTTAGAGTTTTCGGGTGTGTAGCATATGTGCACATCAGTGATCAAGGTAGAAACAAACTTGATCCAAAATCAAAGAAATGTACTTTCCTTGGTTATGGTGAAGATGAGTTTGGCTACCGCATACGGGATGATGAAAACAAAAAGATGATCCGCAGCAGAGATGTCATCTTTAATGAAAGAGTGATGTACAAGGACCGGCATAACACAAGTGTCAGCAACTCAGAAGCGAGTGAGCCAGTTTATGCAGAGGTAGAAGATATCCCAGACAGTTCTATAATGAGGAGTCCTCAGTCAGAGAAATCAAATGAAGAAAGTGATGTGCAATCAGAACCTCCTACTCCAGCTCCTGTATTGAGAAGGTCTTCTCGGCCTCATGTGCCTTGTAACGCCCCGTTTTATTTTTAAGAATTTATCGAATTTATTTAATAAAAATCAGAGTTTTTTTTTTTTAAAACCAAGTTAAAACCTTTATCGAGAAACGGGCGCTACTTACTAACCTCAACAAATAACACACATCCAACAACTCAAGGAAACTACACATGCACGAGCTAACAATAAAACAAGTTCCAATAAAACGTAAGTCTTTAAACCATTTCAAAAGACCCAACATTATTCAAAGTTCAACCAAATCCAACATAGTTCGAAAAGTGAAAGCAGTAAATAATCCAAGGCAATAATAGCAAACAAGTAAACATCGAGTTTATACGGAAGCATAGGTTTTCAACACATATGACCACCATCTCACTTGTCCTACGCCACCGCCTCCAGCTCGTCTCAACCTAGAACAAGGGAGAGAAAAGACAACAAGAAAATGATGGGGGTGAGCAACCAACTAGCTCACCATTATCGCACAGTTATCCCGCATAATTATTTTAAAAGCAGTAACACAATAATCAGTATGCATAGAATCCAACAGTCTAAACCCCCTACCCGGCCCTATCGCAAATCTCCTATGTACATACAACAAACCTTCCGACCAAACATCGGCAAGGCCGTAACTGGAAAATTTCCCCCACCCCAAACTACTCACGGATCATGGATGTTTTCCAGGAGACAGTGGAGATGTTTTTCCCCCCCGAAACTCACACGGATCAGGGCGTCGCCTCCCGGATACAACGGGCAGGTGACCTCACACTGTTATGCATTCGTCAAAGGCACTACCAATAGGAATACTTAGACTAGGGTTCTCACGCATACATTTAATTTTCAAAAGAGACATTATACGAAATAAATGGTGCGATAAATATGGAATACAACAAAAGTGTACCCACCTGATAGCAGCACGGTTCACAGTCACAAATCTCGAAATAAGGCAAGGTCCACACCTCTAGACACCTATATGATGTCAAGATCCTACAATCAGAATCTATCTCGACTTAAATCGGAAATCACAAGACAGACCTAGTCGAACTCGTTTCGACTAAGTAGTTCGTGAAGTCCTGTGGATGTTGGAACACTAAGACTCGGCTCTAAACTCGACCAAACCACATAAGGGAGTTCACACAAATCCATCTAAGGATTGACCAAGTCAAACACACATAAAAACCAAAAAGCAAGTCGATCCAAATTTTCCATATAACAATTATGCTCGAAAATTGAAATCATTTAATCGCATGAAAATAGATGGTCGAGCTACCCAACGAATTAAGCTCTGAATATTTACACAAAATTTCATCTCCCAGAAACATGTAAAACCACAAAGTTTCAGCTTTAAACTCGAAATATCCTAATTTATAAAATTCGAACAGTATATCAGCTAAATGGGCACATTAATTCATACTCAGACTTAATGACTGAATCCGAACTTGAAAATTGTACACAGTAACATACAGTATGCTAAAGTTCATGCATAAAAATCTCAGCCTTAAATGTTAACTGCTGCTATTTTTAAAAATTCATACGAGTAGCAGCAGTTTATCAAATTTAAATCCAAACTGAATCAAAACGGACTCCAAAAATTCCCATCTTTTACAA